CCCATGCCTTTGGAGAAGAATTGATTCTTCCAGCTGCTGTTGAAATGTGTGATGTGCTGGTAAGTGAAGATGCAGCAAAGCTGCTTGAGTCCATCCCACTTTCTAACGACACAGGAAGTAGGAGAATTGAAGAGCTTTCAAATGATGTAAAATGCCAACTAACTGAACGGCTCCGTACATGTGAACAGTTTGCAATTCAGCTTCATGAGACAACTGATGATGGTAATGCAGCACAATTATTCGTTTTTAGTTGTTATGTTCCACTGGGGGAAATTTTGGAAGAGTTTCTTTTTTTTTTTTCAGGAGTTATCAGAACGGACAACAGGTCAGGAAATGTTCAAATGATCATGAAAGCTGAATTTTGCTGAATCGGGAGAAGTGTGTTGCTGTTTGCACGGATGGTGCTGTCGCTGTGACAGGCAATAGGAGTGGTGTTGTAGTGAGAATACAAGCCATAAACCCACAGGTAATTGTAACACACTGCATCGCCACGTTCTTACATCAAAGAGAATGGAACCCGAATTACATGATGTGCTACATGTGGCTGTGACAGTTGTGAATTTTGTAAAGTCCTGGCCTTTGAATTCCTGCTTTTTCTGCAAAGCTGGGTTTAGAACCAGGTGCAGGACATGACAAGTTGTTTCCTACAGAGGTGAATTGGCTATCTCACTGCAGAGTGTGGGAAAGAGTTTTTGAGTTTTGCAAAGAGCTGCTGGGTTTTCTTTCTGTGCACAACCTGTGTGATCCCCGCACACTTTTCTGACCCGAGATGGATCATACAGCTTGAACCTCTCCATACAAGGGGGCGACACCACCATACCTGTGGTGAGTGACAAGAGCACAGCATTTCAGAAGAAAGTGGAGATTTGGAAAACTAGCCTGAGCAGTGGAATGGCAGATCTGTTTCCGCTACTGACAGACTTTCTGGATCCTAACAGCAGGAAAATGGACTGTGTGAGAGACAGGATGGCGGCTCACCTTTCAACATTGCCAGAGCACTTCAGTGCTTACTTTACAAATATAAACATGGAGGAATATGACTGGGTCTGGGATCCAGTCTCAACTTCTGCTATGTCATCTTGCTTGAGTGGAAAAGCAGAACAGGACGATCACACACACAGTGAAAATGAAGTTTCAGAAACAGACACCTTGCCAGTTTTGGCCAACTGTTGCTGCCGAGTACCCGGCTTTAGTTCCAGAAGCAATGGAAGTGTTTCTATCTTACCCAATCACATATATATGTGAAGCATTGTTCTCTGCCATGCCATCTAGGAAGACAAAGTTCAGGTCCCGACTGGAAGTGGAGAATGATTTACGAGTTCGCTTGTCAACCCTCACACCAAGAACAGACAAACTCTGCAGTAAGAAGCAGGCACACCAATCTCACTGATATCTGGAAGCACTCGGATACCCTTTGTCTTAAAGCATTATTAGCAGGATACATGGGCTGACTTTCATTTTTCCAGGTGGGTACTCCACCCCCACTCTGCCCCTTCCCCCAAGGCCCCGCCCTTGCTCTGCCTCTTCCCGCCCCCTCCCCTAGTGCCTCCTGCCCGCTGCCAAACAGCTGATCGGTGGGGGCCCCTGAACAGCTAATCGGCGGGTGGCTGGTGGGTGCTGAGTACCCACTATTTTTTCCCAGGGGTGCTCCAGCCCCGGAGCACCCCCAGAGTTGGTGCCTGTGGCAGTCTGTGTTTATATGCAGCACACACATGCTTTTGTCAATCAGTGTCTCAGTCGGGGGCATGGGTTTAATATTGCATTTGAAAAGCAGTCTGTCAACAAAAAAATGTGAGAACCTCTGCTCTAAACAATGGGACCAGCCCAGAGACACGGTGAAAAAGCGTGTGTGCAGGGATGTTAACAAACTAGCTTCGACCCTCGGGTGGGAGGAAGCTTTGGTTTGCACTGTGGGCGAAGATTCAGGGTGGGAGCAGGAGTCAATTATCTGCTCAGCTCACCCAATTACTGATGTGAAAACCTTGTGTGAAGGCTGATCCCCCACTCTGGCACTTCGAGTGCAGAAGGTGGGGGCCTGCAAGGATTTTAAAAAATAATACTGGCCACTCCAGGCTGGTATTAAACTCCCAAGGTCACAGCTTCTCTCTGACCTGGGATGGGTAGATGCTGCCACCACCCAAGTGCAAAAAACTCCCCCTTTTGAGAACCCAGGAAGGCGCACTTGGGAATTCCTTCCTGTGGGGTACCCTCAAGCCCTTTCACCCCCCCCCCCCCGGCTTCCCAGGAAGAGCTGAGAAAAAAACAAAGGAAATCATCTGTTGCCACCAGCTAATTAAACACAGGGCCGGCTCCAGACGAGAAAGCATGTGCCTGGGGCGGCACATTGTAAGGAGTGGCATTCCGGCCAATCTTCGGGTGGCACATTCTGGCCGCCCTGCCTTGGTTCTTTTTTTTTTTTTTTTTTTGCTTTGGCAGCCCGGTCCACAGCTCCAGCTCCCCGCACTCCGCCAGTCCCAGCCCAGTCCTGCAGGGGCACGGACCCCGGCCCGGGGGGGCAGGAACTAGCGATCCCCGCCACTCACTGTGCCGCCGGGCTCCCCGGGATGCGCCACTCCCCACCGCCTGCACCGGCCTCCGCCTCCCGCGCTGCTCTGAGCCCGGCCCAGCTGAGCCGCCTTTAAAAGAGCGACTGAGCCAGCACCTCCCGCAGCCCCCGGGGGCTCCGCCTGCCTGGCCGGGAGAGGCACCCCAAGGCCGAAGGGGGGAGCCTTTTTTTTTTACTTGGGGGCGGCAAAAAAGCTAGAGCCGGCCCTGATTAAACAACACATGCACCAACCTCTTAGGGACACAAAAATCCAATCCTGATCTTAAAAAAGGTAAACTTTATTAAACCCCAAAAGAAAGTAAATACATTTGGAACTTAGGTTTTTGCTAGATCTTAAAAGAAACAACTACAAAAATTAAACATCAAGATAGTTCTCTTGAGGTTCAGCTTAAAGTTTGCAAGCAAAACAAAAGCATCTGGGGTTAGCACAGAGGGGTCCACAATCCAATAACAAATAAAAGAAATCACCCTAATCACGTCTTCCTAGACATTCCCTGATTACTTACAGGGATTTCAGATGAGTAGGGTTGAGGTATGATTTGATGCTTTTTCATACCTGGTTTTAAAGCTTTTCACAGCATAGCTGCAGCTCTGTCCCCTCTCTCTGGAGAACAACAACAGACAAAGAGAAGTTTTTTCCCCAATTTTAAAAAGTTCTAGCCCTCCCATTGGCTCTTTTGGTCAAGTGCCCACTCCCTTATTTTTACCTAGCCAAGGAGACTTTTTAACCTTTTACAGGTAAAGCAAGCAGAGATCAGCCACCAAGAGGGACTTTATAGCTAACTGGCTGGCTGGGTGTCCATAAAAGGGAGCTACTCCCCACCCCCTTCATTTATCACACCTTGTCATAGACCAGAGGTAAGCAAACTTTTTGGCCCGAAGGCCACATCTGGGTATGGAAATTTTATGGCGGGCCATGAATGCTCATGAAATTGGGGTTGGGGTTCAGGAGGGGGTGAGGGCTGGGATGGAGGGGTTTGGAGGGCAGGAGGGGGATCAGGGCTAGGGCAGGGGGTTGGGGCATGGGAAGGGGTCGGGGTGCAGGCTCTGGGCGGCGCTTACCTCAAGCAGCTCCTGGAAGCAGCGGCATGTCCCTCCTCCGGCTCCGGCGTGGCTCTGCGGCTCTGTGCGCTCCCCCGTCTGCAGGTGCCGCCCCTGCAGCTCCCATTGGCTGCAGTTCCCAGCCAATGGCAGCTGCGGGGGTGGTGCCTGCGCATGGGGCAGCGCACGGAGCCCCCTGGCTGTCCCTAAATGTAGGAGCCAGAGTGGGGACATGCCGCTGCTTCCGGGAGCTGCAGTGCAGCCCCCAACCCCATTCCCTGGCTGGAGCGCCAGAGTGGGGCAAACCCCAGACCCCGCTCCCCAGCGGGAGATCGAGGGCTGGATTAAATTGGCTGGCGGGCCGGATGTGGCCTGCGGGCCGTAGTTTGCCCACCCCTGTCATAGCCACTGGCAGGGAAGGGTGTGTGCACTCACATGAGCACAGCATGAGGTTTTGTCTTGTGCACATAAGAGGATAAAAACCTACCACAGTTTTCAGCGAAGGGAGCTTCCTTTGACGTGGGTACTAGAGACTCATGCATTTAACAATGCTTTCAACCTCCCCGAATGACCATGCTGGTCTGTGGGGACCTAGGGCAGGGATTCTCCAGAGCCACATCCAGCCAGTCGGAGGGAATCACGAAGGAGGCTTGTGAGCTGGGAGCAGTTTCCGTGCTGGAGACGAGATCCCAAGATGTGGTTCATAGACACCAGGGCCAGAAGGGATGGGTAGAGGCATCCAGTCTGAGCTGGTCCCTACCTGCCATTTTGTAGCCACCTCCCTGGTGACACAGCCGTCCCTTAGGCCAATCCACAGCACACTCTCACGCTGCAGGATATATTTACCCACAGGCTCTGCACATCCTGTGAGAACCGTTAGGCTCTGCGCAGCACGCTCTCTCGCTCTCGGTTCAACCTGTTTCCTGCACTAGCATTTCTGCGAGCAAACGCAGGAGGAAGCGTGAGGGAGCTCCAGACGTCTCCCGCCTGGCCCTGGCCCTCGGCGTCGATTCCTAAGAGGGAGAGGTCACCGGAGCCACAGGCCCATGGAGTGGGGGTGTCTAGTTTGGTATCTTGGTGGCCCCATGGCTGGAAGGGATTCTCGGCACTACAGAGGAGTAGGAATTTGAGAGGAAAAACAACGTCGGTATTTCTGTCTTCAGCCTCCTGCTCCCTCCCACATCTGCTGTCATCCTCCCCAGCGCTCTGGCACCCCTGTGCCCCAGAGATTTCTGTCTAGGGATCCTTCAAACACACACACAGGTTATGAAGTGACGACGTCTCTGCTGGTTACTGCTATCTCCCCAAGGGCTCTGAATGGGGGTCTCCTCTGGTCCTCACCCTTCCTCCTCAGGCTGAGCCCAGGGGGACCTGTCCCGCCAGGCCCAGGGCCATGGCCTTCCTCCTCAAGTTCTTCCGTTTCGGCACGGAGAAGAAGAAGGCGAAACACTACGAGAATGTGAAGCGCGACATCAACCCAGAGGACATCTGGACAGTGCTGGGGGAGCTGGGGGATGGCGCCTTTGGAAAAGTCTTCAAGGTAAGTGGGGGGGAAGGGCTGGGGTAGGCCCAATCGCTCGGCCGAGCTGCTCGGAAGGAAGCCCAGCTCAGCGCTGCTCCCAAGCGAGCTATCAGCCCAGCCGGGCACAGAGCTGGTCCCATAGCCTGGGGCCGTGTGTTTAGAACTGTCTCAGGCGCATCGTCCATCGCTGAGGCCAGAGATGCGGTGAAGGGGTTTATCCCATTGTCTCTGGTTAGGGTGGCCCAGGAAGGAAGAGACACATGAGGAGAAATGTCCTACATCACTTCCCGGACTCCCGTGGCCTTTGGTGGGTGGGCTATAGACTGTCACCCCCACGTTTGGAGGAGAGGGATACAAATGGGTGACAGGATGGATCCCTGAGCGTAACACTGTACCTCTGGGCCATGGTGTTAAGAAGGGACTCCTGATTGTGGGTGCCCAGCTGAGCCACCATAAAGGGCCCTGATTTTCAGCAAGTGCTGCAACCCCCCATCATAGCCCCCCCCCAAAATCAGGCCCCTTGAAGGAAGCTCAGGGGCAACACCCACAATCACGAGTCACTTTTGGAAATCTGGGCTCGGATATTTCCTTCTTACTGTGCTCACATCCTGTACTCTTCCCTTAATAATGTGCAATGAGCCACTTCCCGAATTCTCTTTAGCGAGCTGATATTCATAACAAAGCCTCATAATTGAGCTCTTCCACTGCTCTCCATAATCCTTCACTAATCCGCACGAAGCCCTGTTAAATAGCGGCATATTAACGCCTTTGTACAGACAGGGAAACTGAGGCACGGAGGTGCAAACTCCCCGGTGCTGTCAGTTATAGTGCTGGGAACTCGGTGCTTCTGGAGACCAGGGCCAACCTTTCCAAACTTGGGAGCGTAAAGCTGGGAGCTGGATGTAGTTAGTTGTCAGGATTGCTCGCAGGCCAGAGGGAGCTGCGGGGTTCAGAGCACTTGTTTACGAGCCTCGCTATGGCTTCCACCCTCCCGGTTTGAACATGTTGGTCCACATAGGGTCAGGCTGCGAGCGCAGGTGCCTGCCTCCCCTTGTCCACGCTGAGGGGAGAAAGTATTTCCACTGGAGACATGGCAGTGGGCAAAGCGTGGAGGTGGAGGCTGGCGGGCAGGTGAATCTGACCCACAAACTTACATCGGTGGGTAGTGACCATTATGTAGTGGGAAGGGAGCAGCTTGTCTGGCTCCTCAGGGCAGGACTGGGCCTTGCTGTGTTTTGGAAGGAGCTAAGTGAGGGCCTGACCTTGGCCCCTTTATAAGCTCTTGGTTGTGCTAGTGAGCTTGGGGGAGGAGGGGTCTATGTGCAGTGAAACCGCAGTGCAGAGCATGAGCTCTGAACAGGAAACTGCCGGTAGTGCTGCTGCTCCGCTCCGTGCCCTCGCTGCACTCAGGCCTGGAATATGCGCCAGCAAAGGGCTCAGCAAGGCTACCGGGCCGGTGGCTACGAGAGCTCGGCACGAAACTGGGCTTCCCCAGGGGCAGGATGCCCAGGACAGCGCATGGGAGGACCGGGGAGCTAGAGGCAAGAGCCCCAGGGCAGGATGCTGGAGCCGGAGTCAGGGTGGTGTTTGGAGCCCTCGAGCGTGTGTCTGGAAAAGGAAATGGCTCTGCTGGGGGAGGTTTGCACCGACGCTGTCAGAAGCGGCTTCTGATTTTGGGAGACTCGCCCCCCCTCCCTCCACCCAGTGCCTTGGCCTGTCCCCTACCCTGACGACTGGTGCAAATGCGTCTTCCCCTCCCCAGGGCCGGGTTTCTTGGCTGGCACCCACAATGGCTGGAAGGCGGGACCAGGCTGGGCGGGGGAGTCCTACCTGCTCCCTGGTGGCCAGTCTGATCTGCGCTGTGATGGCCACTCCAGCCCCTCCGCCAGGTCCTGCTCCTGCCTACGTGAGAGTGGTGGGGGTGGAAAACATGGTGGGGACAAAGATTCCCCCCCCCCCCAATATTTCCATTGCAAGGGCTCCATCCCCTCCCGCTGCCCCTGCTCCGCCCCTCTGAAATGCAGCCCCAGGGTGTCTCTAGGCTTGGGCACACACCCCCAGAAGCTGGCCTAAGGCGCTAGGCAGAGTGCGGCTGCGGGTGGTTCCCAGCTAGCAGCACAGAGGCCTTCAGAAGGTTTTAATTGACAAGTTGCTGTCCCAGGGACTCCCCTGGCTTTAGCCTTGCTGGCATGCCCCGTGCCTGACTTCTGCCTCCCTCCCCCTGCCCCATGCAACACGAGAGAGAAGGCAGAACACCCCCATCTCTAGGTTCGAATGCAACAGAGCCAGGCGTAGCAGGAACAGCAGCTGGCATGGAGGCCATCAGTGTGGGCACACGCCCTCGGATGTGTCCTCTTGCCCCTGGGGAGGTTGCTAGATAGTAGGGAGTGCGCCGAGGGTAATGGGGCCTGATTCCGCACTGGGCTGTGGCAGGTTCCTGGCAGTAGTGCGCCATTGGGATGGAGTGAACTGGCCTGGCCTAGGACCGGAACGCTGCACTGGGGAACCAGGGCCAAGAGAGGTACAAACGGAAGCATTAAGAACCATATGGGAAATTCCACGTTGCCAAGCTAACACGCTGCAGGCAGGACATTACACACTGTGGGAACAGTAGGACCTCAAGGTCTTGAGGAAAAGAGGACTAAGCCATGCTCTGTCGGGGTAAAGCAGCCACGCCTCTCCTGCCAGGCTTGCTGAGTGCCTTCTTGAAAACACCTTGCAGAGCCAAGGGGCTGCATCCCCAGCTGATGCTGCTCCACTGACTTCATGCCTTCTCCGGCAGTCTGCATCAGCTGAGGATGTGGCTCCTGGGACCATGCTGACTGTCTCTGGGCTTGGTGGGCACTGTGGTTTCTCAGCCAGTTGCTGACCATTGCTCTACCATAAGCACGGCTCTGCTAGCAATGGTAGCGGCACTGGGGTGGTCAGGCCACTGGCATCGTAAGCACCAGTTAGAGCTAATGGAAGGCACAAAGATGTTCTCTAGGAATGAGGCCCATGAACAATTGAAATCCATCCATCCTCTCCCAGTTGCACAGAGGAGGGCGGAGATGTTTGGCTGGTGAGTCTTGCCCACATGCTCAGGGTTTAGCTGATCGCCATATTTGGTGTCGGGAAGGAATTTTCCTCCAGGGCAGATTGGCAGAGACCCTGGGGATTTTTCACCTTCCTCTGCAGCGTGGGGCACGGGTCACTTGCACTTTGAAGTCTTTAAACCACAAGCTGAGGACTTCAATAGCTCAGACATAGGTCAGGGGTTTGTTACAGGAGTGGGTGGGTGAGATTCTGTGGCCTGCGTTGTGCAGGTCAGACTAGAAGATCATAATGGTCCCTTCTGACCTTAAAGTCTATGAGTCTATGTTGCTGGACTCGGAGACTCCTTCTTAAATGTGTTCTGCACTTAGACACCAAGTTGCAGGCACCTTGGTGGACATTCCAGGGAGAGGTGTATTATCCCTGTCTAATTTGTCTGGTGGGACCCCCCCCCCCGCCCCTCGAACACCGGCTGCAGTTCTGGGCACCTCACTCCCAGAAGGATGTTGCCAAATCGGAGGAACTTCTGAGCAGAGCAACAAAACCAGGGGTATAGCTACAAAGGTGTGATCCGTGCCAGGGCCCACTAGGTAATGAGGATCTAGCCAGAGCGGCCCCTGGGGAAAGCAGGGCCCACTAGTCCCCCAGGGCCAGGGGGTGGCTGGGATGGTGGCACCTTTGGCTAGGCCAATCCTGGGTGTAAGCAGCCAGAGAGGCTGTGTGGAAAAGGTGTGGGGGTTTGCAGCACCCGCGGATGTATGTGGGGGCAGAGATGCGGCCCTGGTAAAGATGGAGCGCAAGGTCAAAGCATTAGCTGCTTTGCATGGGAAGGGGAGGGGGAGGATGTAAAGGGGGGAAGAGAAGGGGAAAGTTGAGGGCTAGATCAGAGCTGGAGGGGACTAAGGCAGGGAGCTGGCGGAAGGCCCGAGGTGGGGTTGGGGAGATGGATCAGAGAGCTAAAAGGACCTGGAGGAGTGATTGGGTCGGGGCTGGGGGAGCTGAGTTCTCGACTGAAGGAAGCTGGAGCAGGGTTGAGGGAGAGCTGGGGGCTGGATCAGAACTGTAGGGGAAGGAGGGTCGTCGGGGAGCTGGGGATGGGATAGCAGTTGGGGCTGTGGGGTAGCTGGAGAGGAGCTAGGTGTGGGTTGGGGGGCTGGAGAGGAGCTAGGTGGGGCTGGGGGGCTGGAGTGGGGCTGGGGGTGGGGCTGAACTGGGTGGATTTCAGACTCAGAAAGGGAGCCCCTAACTGATTCTTGCCCCAGGGCCCGCTGGTGCCTCGTTTGGCCACTGAACAAAACTGAGCCGGGGCTGGAGGGCGGTGGCTGTGTGGGTAGACGACAAGGCCGGCCCAGCCCCCGGGGAGAGGTGTATCACAGCCGTGTGGCAGGGGAGAGGAAATGGTCACGGGTGTCCACGCTAGGAGGTACGAGCTGTCTGCGAGCAAAGGAGGTTTAGATCCCGGGCAATGGTTCCTTGGCACGTGGTACACCAGGGCTGGTTCAGTGACAGGCCCTGGCTGGCTGCGAGGCGCTGGCTGAGGTGCTGGCCTATGCGACCCAGGAGGTCAGCCTGGATGATCAAAACGGACCCTTTTAGCCTTAAATCGAGGGGGCAGCTCCTCAGTGGGCGTGACCTGCAGCTAGGCCGCTTCCACCAGCTGGGGCTCTGGCCCGATGACTCTAGATTGTAGGACAGCCCCCGCGGATCTGGTCAGGTCACACAGAGACAGTGTGTTCTAGCGGGTCGGTAACAGTGCGGGAGTAGGACCCCTGGATTCTGGGCCTTGCCGGCTAAGCTTTGGTAGGTCACTCCCCCTGTGGCAAACAGGGATACAGCTTTCCTGTGGGACATGCTGTTAGGCTGGACAAAGCGCTGGGGGGACGGGACCAACCCTGGGCCAGCCCCGCTCGGCAGCATATTGATGGGAGCCGAGACCCGGGGACCTGCCACCTCCGACGGTGCAAACCAGGCGCGGTGCAGTCACT